GACGTGCAGCACAAGGCTTGACAGTAGCACAAGATATAAATTTAAAAAGTATGACAACACCACTGTGTGCATTTGGAGAACACTTGTGCCGAGCAGCAAGCCAAGAACATGTAAATACTCTGGGTTTGTTCCAAGAAAAACAATCTTAGCAGGTCTGTGCAGATCAACCCGTTGTTAAAATGCGAATGAGATTGTCTATACCTCCCACTTTTTTTTAGAGATGATCAGCCTCTTGAGACTGACAGCACGCCACACAAGGGAGTGCACGAGCAACAGACCAAACAAAGCAACTCGGTACACATACTTCATCTGTTCATCACAGACACTCTCAAGAGGCAGGGTGTCGTTTTTACAGAAGTTTAAAAATGGTCTTGACTGTCTATTTGAAATAACACTTCAACACTTAATTCAGAACTGCCCTAGCTTCTTAATGAGGTTGCAGGTCAGCTACATGCATCTATTTACTAGCCGAGGGAGGTCTGATACACATCCAGGTTCAGAGCAGATACAGTTACAGGACGGCTCAAACGGACGTCCGGCTAATGTAGCTGGGGGGCAGGGAGGGGGAGAGAGAGGCTAAGAAATTCCACCGGCAATTTCATTAGTGATCAAATGGAAGTAAGACGTTGTGTCTCTCTCCCTCCATCTCTCTCCTGAAGTGCTCACACAGCATGGGTCATCAACATGGAAACTCAATCAGAAAGGCCAAAGAGCTAGAGGATGATCCACATGCTACAGTGCTGACTCATAAAATAAAAGCTTAAATATTTTAGGAAATACACTACACATGTCATATTAATATAGTTTTGTGTACATAAACTGCAGAGCTGGACACAGGAAGTGATTATCCTAGCTTAGCATAAAGACAGGAAATGAAGGGGAAACAGCTAGCATGGTTTTATAAAGTCAAAAAATACAACTATAAAACTCAATAATCACATTATACTTTGTCTGTTTATTCTAAAAACTATTTGTGGCTTTAGGAAATGAAAAGCCAGGCGCAGCTCAACTACCAGGAGTCATGTTGTCACAGCAATGTTGCTAGGCAACAAGTGCAAGTCTCATTACTCAGCAAAATGCAAAAACCACAAATTATTATTTTTATATTTATGTGAACAAACAAACAAGTAAATACATTTTTATTTGGGAGCTTAGAAAAAGGTGCTTATGGGCTTCTCAGCCTCATCTGTAGTGTAAAATTAGCATGCTAACATGCTACAGCAAGATGGGGAACATGCTAAACGTCATTATGTCAGCAATGTCTTTGTGAGCATGTTAGCATTTAGCTCAAAGCACCACTGTGTCAATGTTTAGCATCACTGCTAGGCTAGGCTAACTATATTCTCCTTCTGGTCTGTAAGCTACTTAAAAATGCAAGTGTTGCTATACAAACTTCATAAAAAAACTCTAAAAGTTAAATTACATTATTTTAAGTCCATAGAATTGCCACATGACATGAGTCTTTCCTATAAAACATCCTCAGCTTCAAAACGTTTGCTTATATTATCAATGACACCTATACAAAAATAAAATCAGAAGAGAAAGGAGAAGCAATGTGCATTTACTGTAAATGCAAGCCTGTGGGGAACCACTGAGTGTAGGATGAGCTCAGAGGTGGCAGCAGCATCAATAGTCAGTCTCTTTACTGGGATGCTGGCAGGACGAGACAGAGCTGGAGAATCACTGGAAGACTTCCAAGGAATGGATAAGCATTGTGCAATCCGAGTCAAATCTGCCATTAGCGACTGCATCACAATGGTGTGGTGATAAATTGGCCAATAAGACAAGAGCCTAGTATGTCTCCATGCGTTAAAAGAGGAAGAAGGAACATTTCCTAGAGATACAGGATTATTTTCTCTGTGTTGCATGAGACTCCACTGAAAGATACAAAGGGCTCTTTGAGAATTTTAAAAGTGCCTATTTAGACAATTAAGGGCATCAAAGGGGTATTGTCACAACTCAGAATATAAACGTCCATTTGAAATGTACTGATTAGTAAGAAAAATATTCAAACCATGCAACTTGATTCTATCCACACAGATTTTAAGGAGTTATAAAAGATGTGATATTTCTGAATTTGGAGCCAACAGTTCAAAGAAACCTGCACTTTTCATATTTCATTTGCTAGATCTCAGGGTGACAGCAGAGTCCACCCCTCATTGGTTCCCATCAGGGCTTGAAGTTGGCATTTGTCCCGATGACACAGCCAATAGTACACTACATCTTTGTTTCTACAGTCAGAAGAGCGACAACGCCAGAGCAAGTGACCCTGCAGAGTTGCTGTGACATCTGGCACTGGAATAGTGCACGTTATCAGCCAGGGCCACTTAACAGAAAGACAACACACCAGAATAGCCCTCTTCACCTCTGCCTCCAGGTGTCAGTCAATGAGTCCAAGAAAGGAATAGCACTGCTTCGTGTTCTGTGTGATGCAGGCATGTAAGATATATTAACATATAGCTGTGGCACCTTGCTTAGCCTTGGGGGTAAATGCCACCCATAACCCACCTTCCCTCCTGATGGTCTATTAAGTATATGGCTTTTACTGTGTGAAATCACACCTTTGCCATTTTCCCCTGAAGCTTAAAAACGTTAACAAAGGCGGCTGTTAATTCACTAAAAGGGGGACCGCCTCTGCTATAAACAGCTGCGGGAAACCCTGAAATCATTCAACACACAAAGACCAACCCTGGATCAAACGTGTGATGCCTTCAACACAAAAGACAACAAAAACCAGCCGAGCTGTGAGGAGAAAGTGCTGCTGATTATTTGGAACTACCAATTACGGAAACCAAGTGTAAGGGATTTCTCTTTTAAAAAAGGGCTGCATGCAACTGATGATGTGTTTTTTTAGATTAATTAATTGGTTTGTTTTATCTAACCTATCATCAAATACCCAAGAGATATTCAGTCCATATCACAGAAGACAGTCAACAGAAAATATTCACTTTTTTGGAATTAAAAAATCTAAGATGGCGCTGAAGAAAGCAATATTTTACCATTAGTTATTCTGCTAATAATTGATGAAACATTTAGTCAATACCTAACATTTCCAAAAGCCAACCGTGATGGTACCAATACAAAAAAAAAAAAAAAACATCAAAATAGTCGAAACAAGTAAATTCTAACAAATGTTTTGCCTTAAAATAACCAATTAATCGTCAAAATAGTTGGATTAATTGTACTGTCCATCATCAAAAGGACTATTCATCTCTACTTCCAAATAAAAAACAGAACAAGTCTGGTGTTTTATTCCCATTACAGTCTAGTTCCTTTGACCTCCATTGCATTATAAACCTGAACAAAAACAGGAAGCAACACAACAATAGCTTTATTCCTAAAAGCATTACTTTATAGCGTCACGTTGTCCAAAACAATCAACAATATTTCCCCTCAAACTCGATGGCATCAAGAACTAGGTGATAAAAAACTTGGAGTGCTTCCCTCTTAACCAAACAGCTAAAGGTGTGTTCAGCGCTCTGGGACATCAGAAGCATACTTTAGTCGTGTTCCTAATCCATCAACTATCACTCATCTGCAGTCAGTGCAGCTTAATTGCCCTGGAGGGCCCACCAGGGGCCACCTGGCACCCACAGCAGGAGAGGAAGCTGTGGGGTGCAGAGGGGGGACGAGAGGTGTTAAAACCATCCAGCAGAAAGCACCAAACCACTGCCCAGAGGCATTGAAAAATAATTCACACTCATTCATCATTATAATAGGGAATTAATTGGGACATCCATCCATTACATACAACCGAGCTGCACCTGCAAACACAGTACATGCGTCACACCTGACTCAAGGGGTGATTCCATAGTTTGTGTAGCCTTTGCTTTAAAGTAAAAGTTAGCTATCTTATGGAAGTCTAAACACAAAACCAATTCTACCTTAAATCAACTTCTACTTTCCCTGAGGTTTCCACACAATCATCATACAAAAGTCGCAGGATTAACCATGTGGATCCACCTGAAAAGTCCTAATAAATCAAATTCCGCTTGATGGATTGCCAGATGATAAGATTGAAGCACCCTCGTCAATCAGCAAAATGTCAAGTTTCTGGAGGCAGCTTTGCCATAACTGTTTCTCCATGTAAGAGAGGTCCCCCTCCAGGGTCTACATATCAAAGCATTTCCCCCAGTCTAATTACCCTATCATGGGCTTGGCAGGTGCAAGCCGGTGGATTGGAACAAAGCCAACCCTCATATATCAGGGCAACTTTAAAAGATGACCCAGATGACACTGTGAACCACTGTAGCTGCAATAGGATCCTCCAGAAGCATGCCCCCGTTTAACTGTGATGTCTGCCAATTCTCATAAGAACAGGATGCTGCAAAGGACACTCAATATGGTCTGTCTTTCATTCACGTGAATCAATGGGTACAAAATCATTAAGGATTATTGGTCAATTTGCCATTAATGTGATACATTAAGCTGTAGTTATTTGGATAGATGTGTAACTTTTAACAGGATCTTTCTGTGAAGCCTCCCACTGAAGAGCTATAGAGTGTTCTGCACTAGAAGATGGTTGAAATTACAGATGAAAGGACTGGTCGACTAATCAATAAGTCACCTTTTAAGAACAGTCTTAAATTCAATGGTTGCAGGTTATGGAATGTCAGAATTTACTGCTTTTCTTGGTTTAACATGATATTAAATGTAATTATTTTTTGAGGGTTTTGGACTGCTCGTCTAACAAAAGAAGATTGTGATGGGTATTTCTCACTGTTTCTGATATTTTATAGACCAAATCATGAATGTACCCTAGTTTGCAATGACAGGAAACAAACTCGGAATGGGAACTTGATATCAGTGCTGCTGTGATCAACTAAATGAATTCTGAATGGCAGAGTGGCTCCAATCCATTTTAACATGATTGTTTGACGTCCACAAGGCTTATGTACAAACATATAGAACAAATAAACACTAAATTCCCCACGTTTTAAACGGTGAAGACAGGAACATCTCAAGGAAACACTTAATTGCAGCAAGAAAACAGAACTCACCGGCCAGGCGAACTGGAAAGGGATCAAAATCTTGCCTCCTTCGTCGATCTTATTCGGATTATTCTTCGCTCCCTTAAAAGAAAACATATTTCCACCGAGAACTTGCGTAGATCCAGCTCCGAACGTGCACGTGCTGGTGGTGGTGACCTCCATCTGGTACTCCTTCAGGCAGATCTTGAAGTAAGTGTCACACTCGTCTTGGGTGCAGCGCAGGTCTACAGAGCTCCTGTAACCGTCGCAGCACTCCCCGTCCGCCAACTCGCCGTTTACATTCTCCACGGAGATCAGCTGCAGCTCGAAATAGCCGGTTGACTGGGACACCTAGAAACAACATTTTTAAAAAGACACATTTAAATATAGGCCTATATATTCGCATGCTACACGGAATGTATCGCTCAAATTGGTGCGTAAAATTGGGACAAGTGGCCAAACAAGTGCCTGACTGAGAAATTAAAATCGTTCAACCAAATTGGGTTTAATATTCCAAAATAATGTGTTGCATCATGAAGGGAGTACGTGAACAGCCTACAGTTTGCATGCTGGGGATTTAGACAATCACGTTACTCTGACGGGGGGAAATTAACCGCTGCAAGAGCCAATTGATGCCATGCAACTTACAACTTATTGGTTCAGGCCTAATTCTCCTAAAAAAACGCACAGGGCTCTTAGGAATATAAACCAAAATGGAGAGGAGCCTGTATCAATTCCTCAGAGTTCAATCTTGTCATGGTAACATGATCACATTCTGCACAACTGACTGCTACGTAATTCAATTATCGATTAATGTGATGCGAATATGCAACGCCGGAGAGCAAATACATCTGCCCACGCCCACCAACTTTTGACATTTGTAATTTAAAAAATATTTTATGTGTGAGGGAGCAGAAGAAAAATATTTTTGATTTAAAACAAGAGCCTCCTTACCTCCGTCCATAACGTCAATAGCAGGCACACTATTGGGAAGCAATTCCTAATCCTTGTGCGATTCCACATGCCTCCGATTAATTAGAGTGACATGAAAAGAAAATAAGCGATATGAAATGACAAACAGCCGCGGACCCGACGACTAGTTCCTCCTCTCCTGACATGCAAAAATAAAATATTCACATGCGTGTTTTCTCCACGGTGTACGTCCAAATTTCACCGAGGCATTACATGCGTGTGTGTGCTCGCAGGAGGATTGCAGTGATGGTCCATGTACAGAAGTGTCCCACCGTCAAATCCCTCCACACTGCAACTGAGAGGTTCCGTAGAGACAGCCTGAGGAGAGATGACTACTTTGATTGGCAGCTCCGCAAACCACTTACAAATTGGCCTGCGGGCAGTCTCTGAGCCAACCGGATTAAGGGGCGGACGATAGTACAATAACCCCCACCAACCCTCCTCCTCCACCTCCTCTTCCTCCCTCCCAAAACTTGAATTATGCTGGGTTTGTATTGAGATTCATTTGGACAAACCGCATTACAGCATGAGAACAAAGCAGGGGTCGACTTTAATTAAAAGCACCTGAAAATATATCATGATAAGCAGGGCTATTATTTCAAATTAGGAACTCATCTTGAATTTAATTAAGAGACCAGACAATTAAAAATGTGCTTTTATAAAAAAGAATATAAGGCTTCATTTTCACACAATTATTTAGAGTATAATTTATTACCAAACTTTCATAGAAGTCCCACATAAGTCTGAATGTTTTAGGTCAATGTGGACTGAAATCTGGTGACTGACACGTGATTTGATTATGATAATTTGATTACAGCTAACATTAAATTAACAGTTTACACGGAACATTGGTTCTGAAGGCCTCTTAGTGTGTTTTTTATTTTAAACCTTGCATCCATATGGGTTTTTCCACTTGATCTAATTGTATTTAATCATAATAATGCTCCATAAACAACATTTACGTTAGACTAATGNAGTGTATTTAATGTGCATTATATGATATTGAGTCGTGGCTGAACCTGTCTCTGTGGTCCTGCCTGACTCTCGTCATACTTCTCTGATGGCTCCCACATGTTTGTTGACATCCTCGTGGATTCATCCTCTTATTATAGACACATGCATTTCCAAACATTCGGTCTACCTACATGTACGCTGTAAAATGTTTTATCTCTTCAATTTACACACGGCATCTATTCCACGTCTGTCCGTCCTGGGAGAGGGATCCCTCCTCTGTTGCTCTCCCTGAGGTTTCTCCCATGTTCCCCTTTAAACTGGGGGTTTTCTCCGGAAGTGTTTCCTTGTACGATGTGAGGGTCTGCATATCGTATTGTCATACTGATATTCTGCACAAACTGTGAAGTCCACTGAGACAAATGTAACAGTTGTGATATTGGGCTATATAAATAAACATTGATTGATTGATGAACTATAGTTTTCTACCTTTTATACTCAATACACTCGCTTGAGGGGAAATATTTTATTTCTAGTTAGGTGATACACCGGTTACAAGTGGTGGGACGTACGTTTACTCAGGTGCTGTACTTTTGTAAAATAAAATAATACAATTAAATGCTGCGTTATACTTATAATCCACTACATTTTGAGTAAAATATTGTATTTTTTTTACTCCATAACATTGATTTCCCAACATCAGTTACTTCGCAGAATAATATTATGGATAGAAAAATGAATACATTTTAAAAAAGATATCATTGTGGATTAAGGCCCTCAATTGCCAGCTGCAACATGACAAATATGTACACATTAATTAATCATTTATTGTATGATATTATTTGTTATACATTTTTGCCATTCTGCATGATGAGCGATTTTAATTTGATGCTAGAACTTGATCGCTTGAACGCACTTAAAATGTCTTTAAAAAGTGGGTTTGTTTACTGACTATGAACCCTTTTTTAGTAATTTCATGACCATTTAAATTGGCTCCACTGCCTTAAGAAAGATCAAATACAATTTAATTTCATGACCAGATCAAATTATCCATTGTTTATTTTTTATCAAACCTGCTTCAAATAACTGCAAGATGTGCTGCTCTTTTTCTTCTGCTCCTAACTTTTGAGCAGTCAAGTCATAACCTTGGATTAACATTAGGTTATGCTTTGAGGAGTAGCAGAGGGTTCAAACAGATGACCAGTCCTTGACAGGAACCAGGTGAGTATCCACAACCTGTTTCTGTTTAAAAGGGCTGAAATCAAGCCGGCCATAAAGTTCTTGCTGCACATTGGGAGTCCTTATCAGTGAGGTATATTTACGACGTCCCGTGCTGTGCGAGCTGGGAAAGATCGGAGGAATAAAGCAAGTCTTAGCCCTTTAGCTATCTCCACATGTAGAAGGAGTCTTATCTACCATGTTAACACTGACAAGAAATAACTCTGAACAACATACCAAATATCCTCTTTACTCTTAGTGATTCATAGCAGGGAGCATGGCAGGCAGCATTTAGGTAATCTGCTGAGCATCATATCTCATCTCCTAGGACGTTATTTTGAATGACAGAACAAAAGCAGTGTAGTATTTAGTGGTGCCAGGCCATCACAAAAAGACAACGTAACCCTACCCAAGTTTATTTCATTGTCAATTATCTAAAAAGGTTAAATGGGGACTGCTATTATAGAAAGTTCATAGCATAGAACTTTCTATGTTCCAAAGCATTAACAGGAAAATCAAGACATACAGTGTGAAATGTCATCAACTTGCCCAACTGGTTAACAATATGACTGTGGTTTTCCCATTCACAAAAACATGTGTTATGGGTAAGCCGTTTCCCTGTTCGCCCACTGTTATGAAATCCAACTATGCATTTCCAGTTAGTTGGGAAATGTCTGTCACTTTTCCTCTTTGCTGGACACAGTCACCTGTCATAAAGACTGGCATGAAATCTGAGCTCTCTGCCTGAGAAAACATGAATGCATTCAGTACTCTCAGCAGAGCAGAACATAAGGGTATGATAGAGGTACAGTACATGTCTCATCTTATCGCAGCGGAAATGCCCTTTAAACACACTTGATGGCTCAGTCAACCATGGGAACTAAAGGAAAACAAACTGGGTTACCTTAAATCACTGAAATACTGAGACCTTATTTACAGTGAAGATTGATGACCGTATTCAAAAACCAGCTGGTAAAGCTGATGTTTGTAATTAATAATCTACTGTTATCATCTGTGTTGTGGTGTATTTGTAGAAGAAGGTAGGTTAAATCATGACAACTGGTTTATGTGAAGAAGTGAACCATTAAATGTGTATAAACTTTTTTGTACAGACTTGAGGGGGAGTTCATACGCATTTTTCCAGTCGGTAACCCATTTTCCCAAATATTCTTCAATCAAGTTTCAAGAAATGTTGGCCTGCATTTTTTTCTGTAATTCTGTTGACAGACAGACAATAGACAAACCTATCCAGAAACATTGGCAGAGGTAATGAAGTACTGCAGACATTTTACAAGGGACATTGTAAACAAACATTATCATTAGCATAAAATCTCGACACAGGCAAAAACATAACTTCGGCTAATGATAGTTTTCTTTGCTGGATTTAACCTTTCATTTTTGTTGCTTAACAGTCACCTGACATTATGTTTTTCACGAGGAATGAACCATTCAGGTGGTTAGAATTTCCCATCTTGGTTGCTCTGGGTTGTTCCTGTGTGTTGACTCGTCACTACCTATAATGGTTAGCAAGTTAGCTATCTTTTCAAAATGGTTAGTTAGCTTTAAAAGGAGAAGCTAATCAGCTAGGTTGTGCTAGCTTCTCCTTTAAGCTAACAAGAAGATAAGCTAACTATATTTGGTGTATGATCACATGTAAGCCAGTAAAATGGTATTGCTTGTTCAAATTGTTCATATTTGGTCATCCCTTACATTTCATTCCTCTCTTCCGCTGCCAGGCACTTTACATTTTGGCTTATGCATTATTGTGCTGCTTACAGGGTATATTAATAATGTTTAAGACTCGCTTACATTTGCCAACCGTCCTACAGTCTGCTGGAAAAGCTACATTCCTCTGCCAGCCTCGGTGCCAGCCTTTGTGAAGTGCATAATGTAGTTTCCCCATTCTTAACTCCTCTCTATAACAGTGATGATATACTGTAAGGTGTGAGCATGTAAGGGGGAAGTATTATCTTACCTGCACTACTGGTGATTTGTTTAAAGTTAGAAAGCAAACAATGACGTCCTTGGTTACATTTTCAAGACAAAAAATCCAACAAAAAAAGAGAATAGGGTACCAATAAACTAATATTCATGAATGTCCCCTTTATAGGTTGACAATGCAACATAACAGGATTTCTGATTCATGATAAACCTAATTGACCTTGTTCAGAATGTCACCTATGAAGACATACACGTTATGTCTATGTTCTATAAATGAGCTAGATGACAGATGGGGTTAGTTTTGGTTAGGTTAAGGACATATTGATGGAATTGCAGGTCAAAAGGAGAACGGTGCAAAGCATCATGGTTGAAAGCTTTCCCCTAAATAAAATGATAATTACGAATAATGACAGAATGAGTCATTATCAGTGGGAGTGAGCACCTGTCCAACTTAATACAGATGATAACTTTAATCCACCAATTAGTTCAAAACCATAAAGCAAAGAATAGAAAACATCTAATATTCTGTTTTAGCTTTTATTGCTTTTTTTAAAATCACTTGAACGTGGAATGGTTGACATTTTCCTGGAGGCTAAAAAGACGTCGTAGCAGCGATATTATTCCAGTATTTTGCATTGTGAATTTAATTAGATTTATCTGTTGAACATTTGCATTTAATAACCACTATAAAATGATGGTAATTATTCGTGAAAGTTAAAAGCTGCTTCAAGGGGAAGGGTGGAGGGCAGTTCGGTCAATCATGATGAGCCCTCTGGGTCACAAAAAGAGGTCATTCATTATTCAAAACCCCTTTTAAAAGACATATGTGTTTGAATTAATCCACAAGGGAAATAAACTGCTATTAAACAGCACTGTTTATATGGACTGACCTCCATTATATTCCTATGAGATAACCACATCCATTCATCCTTCTGCAGCGTAGAAAACATCAAGATCCTCACTGTCTTCATTAAATTCATTTAATTGAGTATCTTTTGACTAAAACATTAGAAGGAAAAATACTGAAATGATCTATTAAAACCCAGAATAAATCAGCAAATTAGCAGAATTTTAGCAGCCACTGTGGTGAGATAGTCATTAGAGTTTGAGGAAAAACAGCATGTCTCAACTTTGACCCATCCCACCACCATCAACCCCCTCCTCAAACGCCACCAGACGCTCACTGAGTCCCCAAAAGAT